TTGGGAGTGGAGGACTATCAGCATGTAGTGGACTGAGGGGACAACTTTTTGAAGCATATGCACATAAAATTCTAGTTAGAGGAAATAAGGCGTACCGAGTTCGAAATCTTGAAGATGGGAAAGAGTCCCAGAAACAGTTCACAGCATTCGAACATGTTTTATTTACACACCTCTCTAATATTGATCAAACTAAACACGAAGGGAAATATTGTCAGCCAATATCAAAAACATTCTGTGCTATTGATGCTTTCGTACTGGGCGTATCTAATTCAATCAACATGCTTTTTCAAATGACAGTATCAAGTAACCACCCGATTAAGGTGCATGGGTTGGAAAACGTTATGAATATTGGAACAAGCCATGGCTCTTATGAGCTCTACTTTGTTGTTCCGCCTGATGTATGGGATGATTTCACCAAACAAAATTATATTAATCTAGATGATACTGATAGAAAGAAACTAGGATGCCTCTCCCAAATAACTCAGTATGTTTTGGAAATGCCATTATACTTATAAAAATAATATTATTTCAATTTTTGTCCAAAGGACAATTTGTAAACGAAGCATTGTTTCCCTTTTCTAATAATAAAGCTGATTTGTTATCTCATATTTACCAGGGATGGCATGTTACGATATTGGACATTTGGACAATGTCCAATTGTCCAAATAATTTAATTGGACATAGTAACTTTTTTTTTATTGACATTAAAAAAAAATTAATTTAATCTTGGCCTAAATTTAACTTGATTCGGGCCAATATTCACTAATACAAAATATCTCTAATTTGCGAAAAGTATAATAATAATAATAATAATAATAATTATTATTATTATTATTATAAAATACGCATGCGTACGTAGGTAGGTATTCACATTATTGAATCAACTTAAATTCCATTTTACTTACAACATGTTTATATATGTACATACAAGTTTTAAAAAATATATTTGGTATTGCCCTAGTGAATGTTAGAAACTGTAAAATAATTTGTATTTCAAAAAAAATAATGACAACAGTTGATTTTATTTTTAATTCTAAAATAAGGGCATGTTATAAAAGAATACACACCAAATTAAATAAATTAGCCAAGGTCGACACTTTGAATTAGAAACATTCATTAATAAATTATCATTGCAAATTAAAGAGTAAAAAAAGGTTATAAGAAATAAAAATAAAATTGATAAATGTCATTATTGTAGTTAAAAGTAATAAAGCTTTTGTCATCATATTATTAAAATTGTCCAATAAAATTATTGGACAATTGGACATATGTCCAATAATCTTACAATTTATTTGGACATTGTCCAATTCCTGAAGGTCCAAAAAATTATTTGGACATTTGGACTATGTTCAAATGTCCAATTATCCAATTAAATTTATTTGGACATTGTCCAATGCCAACCCTGATATTTACTCTGTAAAAAATATGTATGAAGGTTTTAGAATACTTTCCGCTTAGCATCGAATAATGTTAAACTAGAAACTAGAATTATAGATACAGTCGCACCCTCTCAAGACTATGCTGCATATGCACGTTATTTCATAATGCGCATACGTGATAGGTAATTCGAATTATGAACCTAATTTTGGGAAAAATCATACTACTAAAGCTTTCCTGCGACTTCTCTCTGGTACATATGTGGGCGCGTTATTTTAAGACGTGCATATGAGTTATTTAGAATCAAATATTCTTCTTAAAAAGTAGAAATAACGCCCATGTGCGTTATTACCCACTTATACAGTAGTGAAAAAATTATAAATTTGCATTAGAGAGGGATTGCACTTATAGATATAGATGGCGGTGAAATTACTCTTAATAAAAAGTTTTGTTGAAATTGTTGAAGTTATTTGGCGAAATTGGCAAAATTAGTTATTCAATATTAAAAATTAATTTAAATTAAAACTGCTCGATAGGTAAGTATCGAGGTAGTTTTTGTCTCGAATCAACTAAGATTCAGGCATGTAACGCTGGGGTGTGCGGTGTATTATATGTGATCATATAATTGATATGGGTAATGATTTTGATTAAAATCTAATGATGGTTTCAATATTTCTTGACAGAAGTGATGATATTACCAATAATATGTATTAATTTCAAAATACATGTTAATAAAATATATATTTTAGGGCAAAACAGTATTAAAGCGAATAAATAGTATATTTCTCTTGAGTGATAATGTTGCAAAGTCTATTTTTTTAAACATAATTTTATCTTTTTTTTTTTTAATTAATAAATAAGATAGCCGTAGTGTGAAATATTAAAATGTAAAATAATAATATTATCTATACTGTAGTTGCTTGAATAAAATAAATTACCGATTTTAATTATTATAACAATCAAATTTTCATCAATTCTAAGTCTTTACTAGTTGCAATAGAATTCGAATAAACAATATATATATTTTAAAATTAAATTAACGAATAATAAAACTTTTTAATTAAAGAATACTTTTTTAACCAATCCTGAGTATAGTCAAATACAAATTTCATAAGATCTTAAAAATGACGCGAATTGAGTGTACCGTATTTTCGCGTAATAACGCTCATGAGCGTTATTTCGAATAATGGCCCGAATTAAGCTTAATTTGGGCCAAATTTTGAAATTACACCCCTGCGCGTTATTACGCGAAAATACGGTAAGACTAGTATTTTTGAATTAAAATACAATTAAAATTCTTCTTATAAGGCCTAAGCAATTATTATATAACACGTAGTCACATAAATAATACGTAGCATTTTGCAATAAGATGTGATAATCTACAGAATCTCTAATTCTTACGTCTTCTGGTCACATCTTGAAAACACAATAAAAGTAATAGATAAATTAAAGTTGATGATATTATAAGACCTTACTATATTTTTTATAGAGGTTATATCTGGATATAACCTCTTACTGTAGTAGGGTATAAAAACGGTTACTAGATTTTATTAAAGGGTATAACCTTTTACCCGAAAGGTTATCCGGGTACGACCACTAGTTATGATTAAGACTTTTGGTAAAAATTTTAAAACATCGATTTGTGAAATTTATGAATCATATAAAAAATCAAATATGACATGTCAATTGACTGATATAACCATACACTTCGTGATATTTACATATCACAAAAGTGTTAGGAAGTTGAATAAAAAAGATATACATTGCTATAAATTAGTCATGAAATTAAAAATACGTAATCGAATGCGATTCTAATTAGGTAAGCAGTTTTTTATCACTTTTAAAACTGATAATAATTTTGTGGGCTAACATTATTTTTTCATGAGTTTTAAATACAATAATACTAAATGTTGCACAATTTTTTATTTTCATTTAATAAATTCCAAGGTATTCTTCTAATAACAAAATGAAAATGAAATGGGATTGAATTGAAGTTAAAAACTAATGAGACAATAAAAGGTGTAATATATAAAATTGCTGATGTCATTTGCAATTTTTTAAAATTATCGTCAATTTATATAATAATTCTGAGCGATTAACGTTGACTTGAACTACCTGGAGGATACACATTATTGTTGTTTAGACCTCGATAGTGTATATCTTCAGAAATACACGATATCCTACTAGTACCTTGATCTACACAGTCCCAATATACTGAAATCCAAACGTCAAACCAAGTCCCCTTTGGAGGTGCTAGGTAAGGATCATACAGCCACCAGCCAGTTACGTACGGATTTGCTTGATAAGTACAATTGTTTGCACACTCTTGACAATTAACAAATACAGGGTTTTTATCAGGCCTACCGAATAATTGATTGTGGGGGCAATTAATTGCAATTATTCGAACTCAATTAATTGATTGGTGGCGC